TTTTTTTTTTTTTTTTTTTTTTTTTTTTTTTTTTTTTTTTTTTTTTTCGTTTTTTTTTGAGACATGGTTTCTGTGTAGCCTTGGCTGTCCTGGACTCATTTTGTAGATCAGGCTGGCCTCCAACTCACAGAGATCCGCCCGCCTCTTCCTCCCAGAGTGCTTGGATCACAGGCGTGCACCACTCTTTGCTTACCCTTTCTAATGGTCCTGTTAACAAGTTCGTTAGCTGATTTTAAATACTCTGAACTTTGGTCTAAAGAAAACCAATTAGGAAAATAAAGCCATAACTTTATCAAATGTTCCAAAATGAGAATCTTTCCCAGTGAACATTTATTTATTAAACACACACAAAGTAAAGGCAGAGCTCATGAATGCTTTACACAATCCTCATGTAGGATCACTTCATTCTTCCTCATTTCCTGGGAGCATCCTCAGACTTACATCATTTTCTACAAACATATAACACCCACATGAATAGCAGTAGGTTTGTTCCAAGTTGGAGTCTTCTTGCAACATGGAGGAGAGTGCAATGATAACCACAGCTGGTGGAGACTTTGCTGTGCTTTCAAGATACACTGAAGTGAATGCACTTCTTTGCCAGTCTGCTCAAAGTCTTTGCTCAGGAAACTGTTAAGTATGGTAACCCTCTGTGGTCTTACTGGCTTCTTCCAGAAAGCTGGAAGTGATTGTCTCAACGTTAGTACAGGACACAAAAATCTGTGTTTTCGTGATATACATAAATGGGGGTGACCTAAGGTCTGGTCAAGGTCAGTGTTTGAACTGTTGTTTGTGTCAACCTCTAGGCCAGCAGTTCTCAACTTGTGGGTCCTGACACCTCTAGGGGTTGAATGACCCTTTTAAAGGTGTCACCTAAGACCACCTGCATATCAGATACTTACGTTACAGTTCATAACAGTGGCAAAATTAGTTACAAAGTAGCAACAAAATAATTTTTTGGTTGGGGGTCACCACAACATGAGGAAGGGGGTTGCAACATTAGGAAGTTTGAGAGTCACTACTCTAGGGCAACTGTTAACATGACCTCAATTGATTCCTGTTGGTCACTGATTGAGTTCAACAACTGAATTGAACTCAACAACTGAATCTAGTCAGTCTTCACTAGTCATTGATTGCTTCTTTATATAGATTGGAAAAAGCCGTAGTCGGGGCACACAAGACAGGACTTCATAGAGCATCATCCCTCAGTGAGAGTTGAGGCAAACAGTGAACGGGAGGAATTGCCAAAAAAGAAATGATGTATAGTTCTCTAGTGAGATTTGTCAGTGCAGGGGATTGTACTACTTCACCAGTATTCTTAACATAAGATACACTTTAAACCCAACAACACTGCAAGGTCAAGTAAAGAGAGGCTAGTAGTAAGCCAATTTCAGCAATGTCTACAACAAACGTAAAGGTTCCTACTGGTGACGGCTATTCTTGGTTGTTGACTTGATCACATCTGGAATTAACTAAAATCTAAGCAGCTTGGTATACCTATGAGAGATTTTTCTTAATTAAATGTCTGAGGTGGGAGGACCCGACTCTAATCTGGATCTTTTGAGGTGGGAAGATCCGCCTTTAATCTAGGCCATACCTTATGGTGACAGCTATTATAAAGGACATGAAGAGGGGGCTGGAGAGGTGGCTCAGTGGTCAAGAGCACTGTCTGCTCTTCCAGCGGTCCTGGGTTCCATTCTCAGCAACTACGTGGTGGCTCATGACCATTTATATGAGGGGATGCCTTCTTCTGAAAACCAGGTGTACATGCAGATAGAGCACTCGTATACATAAAATATTTTTTTAAAAGACATGAAGAATGAAGTTTTTGGTTTTGCCTGCTCATTCTTGCTATGGCTGGCAAGTCCATTCCTTCACAGGCATTAGAGCATACTCTTTTGGGATTCTGGAGGACACTGAAGAACAGCAGAGACATCCAGCCTTGTGGACTGAACAAGTGCTAGATTCTTAGACTTTCCATTGGTACACAGCCATTGTTGGACTAACTGGACAACAGCCTGGGAAGCAACTAAATAAATCCAACATATATCTATATACAGATATAAATATATAGATATATGTAATATATACACATATTAGAGAATATATATTAGATATATTATTATATATTATATGTATATACCTGTATATATCAGAGAACCCTGACTTAATGTACCCTTTGATATAGAAATGGATTTTAACATCATAAATCTCTATGAGACTAAAATAGTTCTTCAGAAGATCTTGTAAGTGTACAAATAACTAGGAAACCAAATCTTAATTAAATATATAGAATTTTATATTATAAAAAGCAGAACTTTCCACATATAGAATTCTTACAGACTTCACAATATAAATACAGATTTTTTTTTTCAAGTTAGGGTTTCTCTGTATAGTCCTGGATGTCCTGGAACTCACTCTGTAGACCAGGCTGGCCTCAAACTCAAAAGATTTACCTGCCTCTGCCTGGGATTAAAAGATTTACCTGCCTCTGCCTGGGAGTGCTGGGATTAAAGGTGTGCATCACCACCAGCCAGCTTTTAGTTTTTATATAGTGAGCGTTGTATAAATGTTACATGAAGGGTATGGAAATATCCTATTGCATTTGAGAAATAAAAAGAGTAGTAGTCACAAACTTATGAAAAGGACAAAAAGGTATTCAAAGATTTGGTTTTAAAAGCCAAGAATAGAGCCAGCAAGATGGCTCTTGGCAGGTAAAGGTGCTTCCTAGTAAGCCTGGCGATCTGAGTTTGATCCCTGAACTTGAAAGGTGGAAGCTGAAAATGACTACAAGAAGCCCTCTAAACAATACATGCATGCAGTGGCATATACATCCTGTATATACATAATAACCATAATTAAAATGTATTTTTTGAAAAAAGAATAAAAATATGCAAAAGAATCTTTTTTATTGTATCCGGCAACTTTATAAATCAATTTAGTCCCTCCAAAAAATGTGCCATTCTTTTAAGAAATGAGTCTTCTTGAATTATAAACTTTTACACCATTTTGCATTGAACAACGAGCATATTTAGTAAGCAGTGTGCCTATAGTTTGCTTCTCTCCGCACAAATCTCTGTAGAATAAAAAGAAAGAAAATCCATGAATATTTTAGGGAACATATGATATAATGCTCTTACTCTTATCAGTCACTACCCCCTAAAGCCATCTTTCTAAAATGTGAGAACAGTGGTAACTGCTTCTAAGCCTTAACTGCACTAGGAAGATTACATGTGTCATTTTATTTAACCTTTACAAGAATAGGTGTAATGAGTTATTGAATCCTGGATTAGACATGAAGAAACAAACTCAGGTAGAAATGAGGGTCAGATCTTACCACCACGTGTGTATGACTTCAAAGTTCCATGTTATTTCCATTTAATCATGTAATTTTTAAATAAGAAGGAATGAAGGATGGCGATCTAGAGTCAATGAACCTGTGTCCGAGGCTGCCATGTTGGGGTAGCCTAAGTTGTCTGCCCTTCTTGAACTTTTTATTTGCCTCAAAGAGAAGACTGTCTACAGCATAATTTGAGGAGGGAAGAGATGACACAAAGGGAGAGAGAGCTAGGTCACAGAGGGCCATAAAGTACACAGGAAGGGCTTGTGATTTAATTGTAAATACAGTAGAAGCAGTATTTTAAACACTAGAAAAAGCATAATATGACCTGAGTTTTAAACAATTCAGGCAATGAGTTAACTATGAAACCTGGGCTTTGACAACAAAGAAGACTCATTATATTGTTACTTTTCAATATTTAACAATTGGTAGATCATGGAAAACATCAACTGTGAAGACAGAATAAGGAAGTTACTTCATTTATTCTGACTTGGATGAAGGCACTCAAAGAAACATCAACAAAAGAGACACTGTAGCTGGGCCTAGTCACACAGGTTTGTAGTTCTGTAATCTTACCCTGTTGGGAGTCTGAGGAATTGAGGACCTACCTGAAATGTGAGTGAGTTCCAGGCCTACCAAAGCAACCTAGTAAGAACCTATCCCAAAATTGAGAGGTGGGAGGAAGGAGAGGGTGATAGGAAAGAAAAGAATGAAGGAAGAAAGGAAGGAAAAGAAAGAGAAAGAAAGAAAGATTTTTAAAAGGATGAGGGAGAGTGAAATGGCTCTGCAGATAAAGGCATTTGCCACCAAGCCTGATGGCCTGACTTCAATCCCTGGGATTGAACATTGTAGAAAGAAAGAATTGAAAAAGTTGTCATCTAGCCAGGCATGTTGGCGCATGCTTGTAATCCCAGCACTTAAGAAGAGTTGTCATCTAAGTTTTACATATTAGCCTTAAAAGTAGATAGATAGATGATAGATAGATAGATAGATAGATAGA